ACCTGGACCAACACGCCTGAGTTAGCTTGCTGCACCTGGACCAACACGCCTGAGTTAGCTTGCTGCACCTGGACCAACACGCTTGAGTTAGCTTGCTGCACCTGGACCAACACGCCTGAGTTAGCTTGCTGCACCTGGACCAACACGCCTGAGTTAGCTTGCAGCACTTGGACCAACAAGTCTGAGTTAGCTTCCTGCACCTACCAACACGCTTGAGCTAGCTTGCTGCACTTGGACCAACAAGTCTGAGTTAGCTTGCTGCACCTACCAACACGCTTGAGTTAGCTTGCTGCACTTGGACCAACACGTCTGAGTTAGCTTGCTGCACTTACCAACACGCTTGAGTTAGCTTGCAGCACTTGGACCAACACGTCAGAAGCTCGAATAATATGAAGGTTGCTCTGCGAGGGCACAACTGAGCACATCAGTCATTTTGCTCCACTTATATCCCCAGTCCTTTTGCTCCATTTATATCCCGTCCTTTTGCTCCACTTATATCCCCAGTCCTTTTGCTCCACTTATATCACCAGTTCTTCTGCTCCACTTATATCACCGGTCCTTTAGCTCCACTTATATCCCCAGTCCTTTTGCTTCACTTATATCCCCAGTCCATTTGCTCCACTTATGACTTTGACTTTGACTTTGACAATACGATTTAAGGTCCCTGACGGTCCTGTTCATCGGTCGACAACAATTTTTATCAGCACCGCGCCCGTCGCAGTGTCTGTTCCAAGATGATCGAAGCCTCATCACTCGTAGCATGAAGGGCTGTACAGGGCCGGGTTGTCCCTCCAGAAACTGTCAAACCTGCTCTTGAAGCTGTTTACAGATGGNGTTCACAGAAGATCTAAAATCGTGTCATTTGACCGGATCTTTTCACGACTGACGATAGTTTGAAATAGCTACTCGACTTCCACCGGGTTCGATATGGTGCTAGGCATTTCAAATCTGAACATATATTTTTCCATAGCTTTATCTAGTCTGTTCTTGAACGCGTTCACACTTGGAGCGCCAACGATGTCATCGGGGAGGCTGTTCCACATGTCGGTGTTTCGAAGCGAGAAGAAATTTTGTCGCATGGAGAAGTTGCAGCGCAGTTTTTTTAGTTTATAGCTGTGGCCTCTGGTGTTGGTTCTTGTTTCAAATTCTGAAGACGCATAAGTTTAGAAACTCTTCATGCTACAACTTTTTTCGTGTTCAACATCGTTACTGAAAACGTATACTGAAATGATCATAGTTAGAGTAGAGAACCTAATTAAAAACTGTTCGATAATAAAGTATGCCATTTGCGTTCAAAACTTTCTGGGAGTTCAGTCTCTCCATGTGTATAATAATGCGTACAATAGATAATAAATCGTCTTTTCTGCAGCCAACCCTCGTATATTGCTTCATTTTAAAATCCTAAAGATTCTCAGCGATGAGCCGAATGCACATGGAGAAACGCAACTCAAAGAAAATTATGACACAAATGTCATACTTTTTAATCAAACATAACGATGGATACTATACACAGTTGTTTCAAATCTATCGAAATTCCTAGCTAAATAATTACACCGAATTTGTGTATTTCAATTTTTGTAACAGTACAACTATTTAAAACAAATAAAAACTTTATCTATAACCATGCATTCTAAGTTGTCTACAAAAAGTATTACGTGGCGAGTAGAAGACACATTCGATTTTTAGAGGACTATATTTGTACAAAGTTTAGTTGAGACAAAACACTAGTTCCATCGCTTTCATTATTTCCAGTTGGAAAAGAGCGTGAGGAATGTGCAAGTGTGCTTCACTGGAATGTGCAAGTGTGCTTGATCAGATAATTTCGG